CTCTCGTATAGAGCAAGTTAAGGTCAATAACCTTGTTAGTGATGTCACCTGAAATAGTGACGACTCACTGGATGTTGATAATGACATCGGCTGTCGTATAAAGCAGGTTAAGGTCGAGGAAACCTACGACCTTGGAGATGAAGACATTCCGAGTACTTTCATAGGTACGGTCTCGTCAATGAGACGGCAGCGTCGCCAGATGGCGTCTGCGAGACGCAAAGCGTCTGTTTTATCACGTGGTGATATCAGTGAATATCTGTGGACCCTGTTCATCACAGAAACATGTGACGTAGATGGTACGGTTGATCTTAAAGTCTCTCCATCGTTAAATGCGTTTTTAGAGCTTGACGATGTCTGTGGATGCTTTCTATTAATCTTTAAGGGCTGGAGATCTATCCGATATGGTGCTCAATCGATCGAACCTTGAGTTTAACTTATCATCGCTTGGATGTGAGGCAGTCCTCGAAGATACAAAGGCGGCACTAAGTGCACGAAGTGGAGCATCTATCTAAGAGAATTCTTGAAATCCTTACTATTCTTTAGTTAAAGAATTCCAGGATGTGGTGTGTCACGATCCACCGTCGGTCCTACCATCTGATAGGGGTGTACGTCATAAAATTGAGTTGGTTACTGAAACCAAATACTGCGTCACATGGCAGTAGCCTTTACCCAAAGAACATTGTGACGTTATTGACGAGTTCTCTCGTGCAAAGAACGCGGCGGGTATGGTGCGCGAGAGTAAATCTCCGCACTCGACACCTACTTTTTGTGTCAAGAACTCAATGGTAAGTGGCGTATTGTTCATGCTTATAATAAGATCAATGCAGCTACTATACCTGCGCAGACGCCAATTACTAGAAATGATGTTCTTCAGAACAATATGGTCGGGTGTATAATGTACAGTGCGCTCGACTTAGTCGATGGGTATATCCACTGCTCATGCTAGCAAGCGATGTTTCGCTAATAGCGGTTAGTACTCCAAGCGGTATGCTTTGGGAGTGGCTTGTTATGCTTCAAGGGCTGTAGAATGCTGCGGCTACGTTTGACTATTTCGTGACGTAATTTTTTCGACCCCATCTTCGCAAAAATAAAATCTGATGACATCTTATCCATAGTCGTGCTGAACATAAGAGGTCCGGTACCGAGAACCAATATGTTCATGTACGAGATGTGCCCCAGTGCATGCGCACTACTATTCTTTATTTCCATGCGTCGAAGTGCATCATCGGGGCCGAAGAGACTCCCTTTCTAGGGTGCTTCATTGGGAAGCGGGGCCTACGAGCGGATCCCTCCAATTTCAAATCCATAGTCGATTGGCCTGTTCCACAGTCTCAGAAGGATTTGCGTAAATGGCTTGGCCTTGCCAATTACTTACACAAGTATAGCGAGAATTACGCTGATATGGCTCGGCCGTTATCCAATCTCCTTAAAAAGGATGTGGGATGGTGCTGGCATGCCGAACATGAAGATGCTTTTCAAGCGGTGGAAGCCAGCCTTCTTCATGCTCCTATTTTGGCGTTGCCAGACCCTGACCGACCGTTCAGCGTCGTCTGTGACGCATCGGATGTTGCCATTGGCAGTGCCCTGTTAAAAACAGATGATGAAGGTCGTGAGCGTGTGATCGCTTTTGAATGTCGCCAGCTGAAAGCTGCAGAAAAGAACTATCCAATTCATGACAACGAGCTACTTGCAATGAAGTATGATCGAGTTAAAAGTCAGAGTTCATCTGCTAGGCTCGAAGCCTTTTGTGATCTTTTCCGATCATACGTCGTTACGCACTGCGACTCAGTCGCCGCATCTCTCGCAGCGAATGGCCAGATGGCTGTCATTCTTTGCCGAATATAATTTCGAGGTGAAATATAAGCCGGGTAAGCAAAATGCTTTGGCTGGTGCGTTATCACGTAGACCTGACTATGATCTTGCTCATGTTACGACGTTGTCGTCTCCTATCGTTGATTTCATTCGATCGGCGTATGCTAAAGATGATCACTGTATAGCGTTGCTACATGCTCTTGGCAGTGATGAGTTTAAAGACTCGGACATTAAATTGTCGGCACGATTACGTGCGATCCTTCCTCGTTCCATTGAATAAGGGCTGTTATATAATTGTACGGATGCGGCGGATCCACCGCGCATTGTGGATTCTCTTGATGAGGACCTCAAATATCATATCTTCTAAGAAATACATGACACCGCCATCGATGGTCATTTGGGTCGTGAAAGGACCTATGGGGCAGTATGCCAAAGTTATTGGTGGCCAAACTGTATTAATGGGTGAGCACATATGTGCGTACGTGTGAAATGTGTCAACCGGTGAAACCCTCGCCCCATTCGGCAGCGCCGCTGGCTAGTTTGCCTGTTCACACTGGGTGTTAGGAGTCCATTAGTATGGACTTTGTATTTGGCCTACCGAAAGATTCGCATGGCAATACGGGTATTGTGGTCTTTGTTGACCGTTTAAGCAAGATGGCTCACTTAGCGGCTGTGATAGACTCGATCGATGGTGAAGGTACAGCACAGCTTTTTATCGATCGTGTCTTTTCCAACATGGCTTTCCTGTGGCAATTGTTTCTGATCGTGATCCACGCTTCACGGGTCAGCTTTGGAAGTCCGTCTTCCAAGTAGCGTTGCCTTATAACGCATGAAGGACTTAAGGAGAGCATTTTGGACCTCTGGGCCTTGGGGGCAAAAGAGCCTTAATATCATCGGGCCCTACTAGCACAGACATTTTATCTAGTGCAAGTCGTTGCGCCTCAGAGAGGTGACTTTGACTCTCCATCCTCACAGAGGGTCAGTCTTAGAGACCCAGGTGTAGGATTGACTACATGTGCTACCAAGTGTATCGGAGCTACACAGCTCTTTAGTCGGTGGAAGACTGTAAAGGCGGGAAGCCTGTTATATCGAAAGAAATAAAATTAATTTACGGCTCGAAGTCTATTAGTTGTAAGGAACTAATTAAACGACTTAAAGTCACCCTGTTCTAAGGAAGTAGGAGAGACTTTTAGTCAGCAAGCAATAAGCTTAAGGTTCAGAGAACCAACGCACAGAGTGCAAGAGAAGCTAGAAGCTTAGGGGTTCAGGGAACCAACGCACGAAGTGCACAAGAGAACAAGTCAGAACGACTTGCGATCTTAAACTCAAAAGGAGAACTGATTGTATTTATGCTTTAAGATTTTATGAATAGTCCTACTCTAAGTACACTACACTAGATTAATTACTATAATAGTAATTATTATATGCAGACTTTGCTATTGAACGACGTATCGTCTAAACATCTGTGTATGATGTACTTAAGACAGCGTTATCGATTTATCGAATCTCAATCGATAAGATACGGTATTACCGAATACCGTATCTTTAACGCTCATACTTAATACCTCTCTAAAGAGAAGTATCAAAATGCATTATATGCAATAAACGGGGAATTCAACCGTAAACTTTCGGAATGACGTTACAACCGTCGTGTACGAACGATCAAGTAAGAATTGTATCATTGTACTGACTTTCCTGAGATCGAAAAACTTGCTGGCAAAGTCTTGCATGTCGTCCGCCTAAATGTATCCATTGGTGTATCAAGTTCAATGGGGAAGGTCCTTGTGGCCACTTTAACGTGCACTCCGTTACATACAGTATCCGCAAACCTGCCTCGGCAACTTGCATGCAGTGGGAAACGCGCCAGATTTGACCCTTACAATAGTAAGCTATTAATCGAAGCCAGTTCCAACAGCAGCGTGGCCGTTGGCATCCGTGTTTGATTACATGTTAGCTGTCATGCTCGTCCAATGTCGATGATTGTTGATGCTGCCAAGCTGTATGCTGGTGTAGTTTTGCTGCAAAAAAAACTAAGAAGAATTTTCGACAGCAAAAAGTAGTTCTTCCGGTGTGATTCTAAAAAAAGTTACAGACTTTGACCCTTGCGCCGTCATATATGCATGCTTGCTATGTCGATAATGTCGGTGAGATTAAATGCGATGCTTAATGTTCTGTAGCTGCTCGCAAGCTTGCCACTCTTTCTCATTTTTTCGCTGGTCTTCTGAACACTAGAAGCTTGGCAAGTAGTTTGACAATTGGCGAAGCTTGTGGAGGATCCTGGATTGCAATTGCTCGTCGTTTTTGGATCGCGATCGTACGGCATCCTGCTGACCACCAAAGCAGTCTTGTCTGGTTGTGATTGTCGCCAGCGTGTGATGTGCCGATTGTGGACCCAATGCTAATTGATAAGACCACAACCTTCCCGTATCTCGTCATAATGTCCAATTACTTATAGTGCTGTAACAGCAGTCAACGCCGTAGCTGGCAGACTAACTGTCAATTTGTTAAACTGGACACAATTGCATTGTCAATGCAAGTGACATTCACTACATCTTCTTCATTCATCGCAAATGGTCTAGCCCTTATGTAATCATAACTTACTTATGAAAACTTCGTTTTCAGCGTTGCACAGCTTCGAACTAATCACAAGCTAAATCAAATGTCGAGATATCTCCAAGATTATGTATTACGCATGCCTAAAACATTCTGGCCGATGCACAAATTTACGTGGCTGTGTACAAAGCAGCTCAGCACGGTATTTTCAGATATAATCCAGCGTTACGTCAAGCATTGCACTCCTTGAATGTGCAATCTATTTATAGCGAGCACAGCAACCAAGCGTCGCCAAGAATTGTTATGTAATCTTCAGCCTCTTCGATGCTTTCATTCTTCCTCCCATGGCGATTTAGATTGTTCTCGTTGCTAGCCAGAATTGCTAGCAATATTGATTCATTCTACGAAGTTCACGAAAATCAAAGTCAAGCTCTATTAACACCGTATAAAAACGGATCGCATGACGCTTAATTTCGTCCAAAGACGTCAGTCAAACTTCAGCGTCACGACAGGTCGTCCTTCTTCTAGCTTTTGGTAGTGGTTTCACATCGTACATTCGTGCTCTACATGTATCAGCGCTTCTCGTCCTGTCGCGGCAAGTGCATTCATTTCGCACTAGACCGCCTTTAAGTAAGATGATTTCAAACCCCTCGGTCTTGTTGGCTCTGATCTTGGTCTTATCAGCCATGACGCTCAATGTGACGCAAGCCACCTATGAGGCATTTGCCGCCAGCTCTTCCTCCGAATGCTGCAGCAAGTGTATCGGCAAAACGTCGGATATCGCCTATAGCTACGACCCACTCATCTTTGAACAGTGCACAAGTGTGACGGGAGGCATCTGCTGCTTCGATTGTGGCAATTCGGGTGACCCGATATATGAAGACACCGTAACATACGGAGACGATGGTGTGACAGCAGTCGTCGAGTCAGGTACCTACATCGCTTTTACATGGAGCGGCGTCGAGAGCGTGACGTACGTGTCGCTCAAGACCGGTCAGAAAAAGATGGTGACCCCGACAGTGTCGGATGCTGCAGCGACGAAAAAGTCGGATACGTTCCTAATCTGTGCCAAGTCTGCCGGTACCATTTACTTCCGAGGCTGGGGCAATGATACTTGTCGTAAGGCATCGCCAGAACACTCGATCACGATCGAAGCGGGTGACTCGAGCAGTACCACTTGTGACGCAAATGACGTTAAGGTGACTACGTCTTCGAGTTCAAGTGATACGAGTTCAGGTTCTAGTTCGGTGGCGGCTGATGCGACTGTGAAGAATTGTAACCAGCAACGAGCTAGTATAGTAACAGTAGACGGGATGGAGACTTGCGTGTGTGTCTCGGACTGGACGAACCCACCGGAGTGCGATCGCTGGCCTTTGTGGAAGTGGCTCGTAACAATTGGTGGTGGAGTTGCTGCACTTTTCTCGAGTATTATTTCTTTGCGGGCACTACTTGCAGGCCGCAAAAAGAAGCAAGAGGAATACCGAGAGAGCGTGGATCAAATCACACCTCAGAGTGATGTCGCAACGCTGAAAGTGACACCGGACAGCAACTACCATGTCAACGGAGTGCCCCTGTCCAAGTATGACCAGCAGGAAGATCGCACATTCGGAGCTCCTCGGAAGCCCGCGAGCTACGAATTTAATCTTTGAAGTGCTGTCCAAGCGCTTTGAACAATTAAAGGACGTTATGGTACAATTACTGGTTATACGAGACCCTGCGCAACTCGAGCGAACCTTTATACGATATGTCTCCTGCCATGTTCGTGGTGTTGCTTTTTTGAAATACACAGAAGCTGTGACAATAGTAGAACACCACAACAACTTACGGTACAGTAGTACAGTACCCATTTTGTGCTCTCTAATGCCGCATGTTACTGGTATTATACATCATACATGAGACTGACGCCCACGCGCGCAGATTTCACATTGAAATTTATACGACTGGTAACAATGGATCTATAATGTTTGGGCGTCTACTTGGCCAAATTCATGAGCCAGCCTCTCTGCTCACAATAGACACTTCCCTTACATGTTAGAACAAGTTTCTAATCACGTTGTAATGAGAATGTGGTACTTCTAGCTACACAGACACGCAATCGACTAGTCGCAATTTGTTATAAACCCAGACAGATGAAAACTTATCTTATGATTGTGCTCGAAAGCTACAGTATCTTGTCGAAATTTGAAACTAGGTTGAAGCAACATGGAAAGATGTTTCGGTTGGAGCAATCGGGAACACGAATTTTCTGAGACTGCTAATTCAAATTCACAAGCAGAGAAATGTATCCCTTTTCATAGAGGTAGTTGAATGACTCACAAAATCTAGAATCACGGTACCCATCGACATTACGACAGGTACGTCGCCTCTCTTTATTCCGGTGGTTGCGGTTCCTTATTCGTGGATTCGTGCACTTTAGCTTGTAATGGTGGCCGCTCGACATTATTCTACTAGATCTACTGCAGGCACTGCATTAGGAAGAGAGTATGCATCAGCAGTCCGTAGTACAGATACTGACGTTTTACCTAATAAATGTGACCTTCGACCTTCATGGAACTCTTGCCAAAACGGAAGCGTTTGCCGCCAGTTCCTCTTCCAAATGTTGCAGCACGTGCACCGGCAAGACGTCAGACGTCGCCACTAGCGGCGACCCACTCATCGTTTCGCAGTGCACGAACGTGACGGGAGGCAACTGCTGCTTCGATTGTGGTAATTTGGGTGAGCTGACTTATGGAAACACAGTGTCGTATGGAGAGGACGGCGTGACGGCAGTAGCCAAGACAGGCACCTATATCTCATTCACATGGAGCGGTGTCGAAAGCGTGACGTACGTGTCGGTCGAAACCGGTCAGACGAAGACTTTATCCCCAACAGTGTTCAACTCTGTGGCGACTAAGGAGTCGAATACGTTCATGATTTGTGCCAAGTCTGCTGGTATCATTTACTTCCGAGGCTGGGGCAGTTCTACTTGTAAAGAGGCGTCATCTAAACACTCAATCACGATCGAAGCGGGCGGCTCGAAAACCACATGTGACGCGTATAACGTGTCTACGCTTTCAAGTTCCGGCGGCAACTCGGTGACCGCTGGTGAGACCGTGGAGGGATGTAATCAGGAACGAGCTGCTCTAGTAAGTGTTAATGGAATCGAGACTTGCGTATGCGCCTCGGGCTGGACGAACCCGCCGGAGTGCGATCACTGGCCTTTTTGGAAGTGGCTCTTGACAATTGGTGGTGCTGTTGCCGCACTTGTTATTGTTATATCTATTCTGTTCTCTGTGCGGGCATTTGTGCAAAAACGCAAAAAGAAGAAGGAGGAGGAGGAAAATTATCACATGAACTTGGCCCCGAAGAAGCACGAGGATGAGGGGTACCGAGAAAACTTGGCTCCGATGGGTACCAAGAGCGACCTTGGACCGCTTGATTACACACCAGAGAGCGGATACCACGATGGTTCGACAATGATGACTCCCATCAAGGAAGCTGAACGTACACCAGGAGGCACTAGGAAATTAGATGAACGTTTGTTTTCACTGTAATAAGCAGCCAAGAAGTCTCCAATTATTAATTACCTAACGCTAGTGTCTAAACGCGAGTCATTCTAAGTTACCCCACTTTCTATGTGTAAATAATGGACGGATTCAAATATAACCGTTTATAAATTAAACAATATTAGCCAAAAGGTCGAGGAAGCAAAAGAGGCCTTTCAAGCCATTTTAAATCTTGCTGTACCGTTTTGTACAGCCAGTGCTTTCTGCCTATTTTAAGGCCAGCATGTCAAACCCTCTCCCTTGAGCAATGCGCCTTTTTGTTCACGACACGGTGGGCGACGTGCTATTCGACGGGTCGAAAATGTTTTGAGATATAAAGTATTCATGTGCAATTTGGACACAAACTAAATAGTATCATCCATAGCAATGCATGAACTGAGACTAAAACATTTGTATCAATGAGATAGGTAATCCAGAACGGGTAGATACGCACTACTAACTGACATGTATGTGATCACATAGACGTGCATTTCAGTAATTAAGGTGTAGCAGCAGTTAAACGTGATGCTTGTCAATATAAAGAAGAGTTACTATTTTCACCATACCATTACTTTTTACTATTTTTCACCACACCACACTATTACTTTTTACTATTTTTATCACACCATATGTATGTATGCAACCGCGTTACGCGAGCCGTCTTGCCATCTGTAACAAGACATCTAGTTATACGTAAACATTAAGTAATATACTTAATGTTTGGTCTAAGAGTATCCATGATTATTTTTGACCTGTCACTTGGGTGCTAAACACAAATGTGATCCACCCTCGTGAATGTGATATCCATTGATGGATTCACATGGAAAGGGATGACGCTAGTTGAAGCTAGGCATCGCGACGTCTCAGAAGGAAGCTTAAATCTAGATTTAAGCTCATGCGTCAGGATACGCTTGTAAAGAGTCGCGTATCCGATTTTTACATAATCAGCCAATCAGTAGTTAAGCTTAGATTTAATTATAATTCATTAAATATAACTCAGTCTTGAATTTACTACACACTGTCTACTAAGCACAAGTAAGCTTCTGCGTGACGTAAGTAGGACACTTGATAATTGTTCGTTGCGCTCTCGCTTAATAGAGAGGCAACTGGTGGTACGACTGCTTAATCAGTTGACCAACCGCATATCCACCCTCGCACGCGAAGGTAAGACGGTCAAATCGCTTCCTCGCTTGTGTTGAAGGTGTGTGCTAAAAATCACGAGGAAAATTCGTAGAAGTGCCCGTCTACACTTGGTAGCACTAGTAGTCCTTCCCACTACCCGTCTCTCGGAGCGTGTGTGTGGTTAAGATGGTCCTTAATATGGACTGTATTGACTTACCTCACCTCCCCCAACACCATAAGGAGTTGGCAGAGCATATGGCGCAGGGACTTGGTGAATAAGCCCTCTTGCATAATCCTCCTGAGAAAAATGTTGCTCAGTTGGAGCAATTTGAGGCGTTTGTGCTCGGACAGCGTAGAAACGCGTCCGAGGTAAACAGCCAAGCCATCGCTGAGTCCATCAATAAGACTCAGGATGAGCTTAGGCTTGAGCAGGCACGTAATGAGGCGCTCAACAGAATTGTTGAGACGCTCTCTGCCCGGCCTACTCAACCGAGGCCCATTCGGATGGACCCTTCGAAGTTCGATGGAACTGGCCCTCACACGATTGTTCACTGGCTATTAGCAGTTGAGCAATGTGGAGTGGCACAGCTCATCGAAGACGACACCAGAATGGTGTCGTATGCCATGTCCAACTTACGTGGAAAAGCGTCAGAGTGGGCATACTCTGCGCTGATGGCAAATGCTGATGCATTTCCATCATGGGCGATCTTTAAGGCAAAGATTCGCGCCATGTACCAGCCGCCTAACAACGAAGTGTTGCTTATGGCGCGCTTCTTTGGAGCACGACAGGCGAAACGCTCTCTGCAAGAGTTTGTGCAGGAGATGCGTTCGCTGTCGGCGTCCATCAATGGGGAACCGATACCAGAGCGTATCAAGGTAGCCACGTTCATGAATGGACTTAGGCATGGCCCATCGCGTCAGGCCCTTTTCAGAAAGATGCCAGCGACGATGGAAGAGCAATTGACATTGCCTTAGTTGAGGAGCAATCCTACAAGAGCGCCTCGGCGACAGCTTATTTTAAGCCGGACCGAGAAGTCGGATGCCACTTTTATGGAGTTAGTCAATGCAGATGTTGTCTGCTACAAGTGCGGCAAGCGAGGCCATATGATGGCTCACCGCTATGCCAGACTTGCTGCTGGGGACAAGGCGCCCACCAAAGATCTCCCAACCCCGAAGGGTGGTTCGAAGAACCGTGCACGTCGTACGGGTTCAGATTTGACTCCCGATAAGTCGGGAAATGTGGGAGCGCAGTAGGGGCGGGATGCCCTACTGTCGCGGACTCTGAAGCTACCCCTAACTTCAGAGTGATCGAACAAATGGGTAGCATAGTCCCTGAGGTTCCGAAAGGTCGGACCTCAACTCTGTTGATCTATAGCGCTCGAGTACGAGGCTATGACCAAGTGATGACCCTTCTCGTGGATTTAGGTGCATCACAAAACGTTGTGAAACTCGCGGCTCTGAAAAAGAGACCGGCGAGTTATGAGTCGCTTTGCCAGGATGGCAACCGAGAAGAGGCGACCGCTAGTAAAATCTGAGGGAGTTTAAGTTGAACTCGCCTTCAGTTTCACTGAATTCTCTTGTAAAGAGAATTTCACAGTGCAAGGTATGGAGAGTCCGTATGACCCTATCCTAGGCATGCCTTGGTTGGCTCAACACCAACCATGGATAGACTGGCGTACACGAACAGTCGCTAACTCTACGCAGGACACCGGAAAGGATGTGCTCCTGCGAGAGGCTTATGTGGCTGATGCTGTGTCCAACACAGTCGAGGGTGCGATGACGGTATGTCAATCGGCACCAGGAACTACCCAGCTTGAAAAGAGTGGTGTAGTTGTGAGTGCACTGGCGGAAAGCCAGGTGACACATATTCCTACCCAGGTCGAAAAGACTGGTGTAGTGAATGGGGCGATGTGACAAGTAGTCAAGCGTCCAATGGTCCTGCACAGAGCCGAGGGCCTGTGGCAGTTGATGGTGGGCTGACAGGAAGTCAAGCGCCACAAGAACCGGCACAGAACCAAGAGCCTGGTGCGGTTGGAAGGAGTGCGTTAGCTGACGAAGCAACGACACTTTCTTCCAGGTCAAAGGTCGTGGTGACTCGAAGAACGAGCACCAGACGTATTAAGACGATCAAGGGCACGTCGAAACGAGTGACCCTTGGATCAGTCTCGGTCCAAGAGGACGGACTTACGAACGAGTTGTTCGAGGCCGTCGAAGACAAAATGCCGGAGACATCCTCAGTTGAGGTGCTCCAACTTGTCTTGGCATCTGCCGAGGAGATAGTAAATCTCTCGGAGATGACGTGGGATCTGTTCCTGTCCGAACTAAAGGAAGGAAAGATCCACGAGATAGTCGCACCAGTTCCAGAAGAGAACGTGGTGGACTGTTGCTCTTCATCCACAATGGATGAGAGCGTCTTGGAGACCGACAAAAAGAAACGGTTTGCTGCTCAAGGCTGGGATGCCTTGAAGGACAGCCCGTTCTATGATGTTCTGTGGAAAGACCGTGATGTGTTTCCAGCAGAAGTGCCGAGCCGCCTACCGGCCGATAGGGGCATCAGGCACGAAATTGACCTGGAGCCTGGCACCAAGTATTGTGTGACCAGGCAATGGCCGTTGCCGAAGGAACAAGTCGATTACATCGATGAATTCTTCGACAAGCGAGCCAAGGCGGGACATGTACATGAGAGCAAGTCGCCTCACTGCAGACCGAACTTCTGTGTGCGTAAAGCCACGGGTGGATGGCGCGTGGTTCATGCTTATAATAAGCTGAACACGGCCACCATTCCGGATCAAACGCCGATCCCGCGGAAAGATGTATTGTTGAATTCCATGGGAACGTCAACTATCTTTTACGCGTTGGATCTGAAGGATGGATACTATCAGGTTCTCATGAGAGATACCGATGTAGCCAAAACGGCAGTAAGCACCCCAAGCGGTATGCTGTGGGAGTGGCTTGTGATGCCACAAGGGTTGAAAAATGCTCCGGCAACATTCAACCGAGTAGTGGCTCACGTGATGCGTCAGCACCGTGCCTACGCGCCCCATTACTTTGACGATGTATTCGTGCATAGTAGGGCGGAGGACGGTCTGAACGCAATAAAGTCGCACAAGCGTCATTTAGACGCTGTGTTGCAGACTCTGGGCGATGCCCAATTATACGTAAGCTTGCAAAAGGGCGTAATAGGGGTCCTCGAGATACCTGGACTGGGCTGCATTGTTGGTGCACACGGTGTACGAGCAGACCCAGAAAAGGTAAAGGCTGTAAAGGAATGGCCAGTCCCACGACACGTGAAGGATCTGCGCCAATTCCTTGGGCTCGCTAGTTACTTGCATAAGTACAGCAAGAATTATGCGGAGCAGACTAAGCCAGTGTCTGACCTTTTAAAAAAGGATTCAGAATGGACTTGGTCAAAGGAACAAGAAGATGCGTTCGATTCAGTGACGCAATCTCTTGTAAAGGCACCGCCGGTCTTGGCATTGCTAGACGCGGATAAGCCCTTTAGCGTCGTCTGCGATGCAAGCAATTTTGCAATCGACAGCGCGCTCATGCAGAAGGATGGCAACGGCGTTGACCGTGTCATTTCGTATCAGTCTCGGCTTTTAAAAGCTGCCGAGCTGAATTACCCTGTGCATGACAAGAAGCTACTTTCAATTAAGTATGTCCTTGTGAAGTTTCGAGTGCACCTCTTGGGCACCGAACCTTTTGTGGTTATACGGATCACGCATCACTGCGGATCGCTATGAATTCACCCCACGTCTTGCCGAGAATGGCGAGATGGCTAACATTCTTATCTGAATTTAATTTCAAAGTTGAATATAAGCTAGGTAAGTCGAATGTCTTGGCTGAAGCGTTATCGCGTAGACCAGACTTCGAGGCAAGATACCAGG